AATAATTAATTAATTAATTAATTAATTACTAATTTTCGACATATTTTGAAAATAATTGTTGTTTAAACAATTTTAGAATATTTAAATAAATTTGTTTTTGATCTTTGATAAACAGTATATAAGTTTATGCACTTACCTTTGATACAATAAAAAAATAAAGTTGATAATTAAAGGAAGTTTAAAGATAAATAATTATCGGACTGTTAAAATACCAATAATTATTAACGATAGGCATTTGAAAATACGCTAATTGCTTTTTTTAAATCGCGAGACATCGATTTAAAAATAAATCAAAAAAAAATCATCAAAATCGGATCTCTAGAAGCTGAGATATTAAAAATTTTTAAGCGCGTCGCGGTTTTGAACTCGCCGATTCAATTTCGAGCAGGCCGAAGCGGCCGCGCTCTCTGCTTCCCCCACCACCACCACCCGTACGATATCTTGACTTTCTCGCTTGCATAAATAACTTTACGCGTTTTAAAGTAGGTTGCCAATGAAGAAATGTATTGCAAACTTAGACCTGGTAAGTCCTCGGAATACCAAAGGCATTTTTCGAAAAATTAACCCGGATGTCACAGTACATTTAGTGTAAATGACGGTTAACATTGATCGGCTATAACTACGTAACTAATTGACCAATCGATCTGGTTTTTTTTTAAAGAAGCGTATTTCCAATATCTTTTAAAACCTGCTTTAAAAAATTTGATTTTATTGAATATTAACAAAGTTATTCTAATTGTTTATAAGTACAAAAATTCTACCGATGTTTAAACAAGCACCAGAGCTCTCCTAATTGACGGATTCGAATTTTTCAAAAAGCGTTTGAAAGCTTGAGAGCCCTTCTATATGTGATTAAAGTATCTAAGAGCTTTGGTATTTGCTGTGCAAAATATTGAAAATTTGCTAATTTTTTTTCAAAAACATATTGTCCCGCCAAAAGTTAAGCCCACGTTTTTTTATGCGCATGGAAAAATTTTCATTTCTAGTGATATTTGAAAGCCAAAAAGCCAAAAATCTCCGTGGATATACGATTCACCCAAACCAAAACAGATACCGCCTAGTCTAATATTGCGCAAGGCCACTCGAGAGAGTACTAAAAAGCCCTTGGGAAAGCCACAAGCTACAGGAAAATTAACTGAATGATGCATCCCTCCAATCCACATGAATTTACTTACAAACGAAATAAATTAGGCATCGTGGAAAATAAATTTTCCGGAATGTGTCGTATTTTGTTCCCATTGAGACGTCTACAAAAAAAAAAAGATAGAGGAGTAATAGTCGGTTCTTCTGGCGAACGGCTCTACTTACAGTCTCTCTAAATTTACGAGATCCTGAAAGGCATCCCTTTCTATAGTTCGTATCTCGTTATCTGTCAATTGCCTGCGAAAACAATTGGATAGTTTTAGAGTTAGAAAGTACGTTCGGAGAGCTTGAACTTTTAGAATTGTGATGGGGGTGGAGAATAATGTTTTTTTCATACGGGTTAGTTGCAATTCCGTTTTACTAAAATAGGTACTCGTTTGGGCAATTTAAGGCGCTGATAATATTTCAAGTAGGTATAGGTTTCACTATTCGAATAGAGCGGCAAATATAATTGATACTAGCAGGGTGCGGCAAAAGTATAACTTTTTCTAACTAATTAAAAAAATATTTAAGAAATTTCAAAATATAATTTTTGTTTTATTCTCGTCGTGGATGAAATATTGTCAGCGCTGAAAAAACTGTTCACTTGTAGCAAAACTTTTTTTCGAATTTACTCACAGAATCCTCAGCTTTGACAGATCTTGAAACTCCGACTCATAGATGGCAGTGATGTTATTCCCTTGCAGGTCTCTGTAACAAAAAATTTTTCTTTTAATTTTATATTTATGATTTCTTCTATTTACGGGACGATTGGAGTAACTAAAAAAATCGACAAAGCGCCTTGCTAGAGACTGAAGGCTGATGGGTAAATATTCATTAAAGATTTGAGCCAAGAAGGTCTTGCGTCCGCCAAAACTTTTGAATTCTGACCCCAGATTCGTGATTAGCGACTCCGAAAACCCACGTATACCAAATTTGACGTTGATCGGTTGATTTTCGAAAATATCGTCCGCCATATTGAATCCGCCATCTTGAATTTTACAGATCTGTCTTCAGATTCGTAATCAGCGACCTCAAAAACTCCGTGTGCTAAATTTGGCGTAAATCGGTTTAATTTCTAAAAAATTTAAAGGTTTTTTTTTAAATATTGCTTTGTGATCGATATTTTTGAGGTTAGAAACAGCTAAGACGTGCCGGCTTATTTCTGGAGGTGGATTTAGATTCTCCGGGTCCATTTCCTCATTGAAGAAGAGAAGAATATAAAAAAATGCAGTTACTCGTACAATTTCGCACTGGTTTTTATCAGTTTTTTTGAGGGTAGAAAAAAATGTGATGTGATAGCTAAAATATAACACCGGATAAATACAAAAAAAAAAAATATTTTTGTTTTTCTCTCAAAAATTAAGAGCTTTCAGGCGCCATATTGGAGTCGCCATGTTGGATTTTGCAAAGGTTCACTCAGCATTTGAAAGTAGATGACCTAAGTTTTAAAATGTCGATTTTTTAGTTACTCCAAATTATGGTCGTTGATAATAATGGATCATTCCTTATGTATGTCAAAATAAGGAATTTATTACGACTAAATTAATTTTTTAATCAATGAAAATAATTAAATTAATAATTAATTAAAAGGGGAACAATCTAAATTATCCATTTTTACAAAGAATGCTTGGAAAACAAAACACTAATTATTACTTCAAATTAAATTTTGACAGTTCATTTAAATTTTCATTGACAATGTCAAAATTAGAATAATTAAAAATGAAATCTTGACAAGAAACAGTCAGATAATCTTCAAATTAAATAATCCACGAGTTTGAACAATATTTCTCTCTTTTTGTAAAAGTGAAAATTGTGTTCTAACATTGTCGATGAAAATTTAAGTGAACTGTTAAAAATATGTTTGGATTTGCATGTTTTTGTTTCCAAAACGCTCTTTGTAAGGTGGCATTTAGGCAAAAAGAAAGAAGCAAACTGTAATGTATGACATCTTCGTCATCAATATCCTTATTTTATACAAAAGTAGAGTAATAGAATAACAGAGACAGTACTCAACAAAAATATTAAAGAAGCAGGAAAATTTCCAAATTTTTTTAGTGATTTTTGAAAAATGGTCGCATCTTAAACCTTGAAGATTTTATTTTTTTCTCGACATTTGAATTATTCAATGTAAAATTGTAAAAGAGAAAACGCAAAAAAAAATTAAAAATGTTGAAAAAATTTTATTTTCAAATTTTTAATTTTTTTTTCAATATTATTTGATGAAATTGTGAGGAAAATAACGCAAACCAATTTGTTTCATAATCATTAATTGATGTTTAAAGAGCAATAAACCTGCTCCTTTAATTTTTTATAAAACTTTGACGATTCGGAAAAAGAAAACGTTTCTAGCAAAGCAAAGTATTTAGTCCGATTTTTTCAAAAACTTCTGTTGTTTTTCTGGTCACTTAAGTCCGATAGCATGAAAAATCTACATTACTTTCAGCATTTTTTCTATTCACAGTCGATCTATCTCTTTTATTATTCATTCCGTTCGGGAACGCAATCGGCGTATTATGTTTAAAGATTTTCACTTTGGCGACAAATGAATAGCGCGTCGAAAAGAGAAAAGAGACCTGAACGAGGGGAAAACGCGTGCCAGCGTAAACACACAAATAAGAAGTTAGAATTAACATTCACAGCACAAAGTCTATTACCACGGGCTTTGGATACAATTAAAAAAAATCAATTCAAAACGCATTTAAAGCCATTCCGCTCAATTAAATAAATTTGACAGAATTAAATTGGATTAAAAGCGGTCGCAGCATAGTGAAAGGGGCGGAGAGGGGGAAGGGGACCGACCCCCCCCCCCCTTTCGAAACAAACTTTGGAACGACCGAGGTGACGAGGGATATACAGAGTGGCGCAAAGAAAGCTGGTTGGTCCTACGGTATAGTTTAGATTAGACTCAGAAATGCGTTGACATATTTTAAAGTAAAGAAAGCGTTTCTTTTTTCATTTAATTTTGCTTAAATAGATAATTGTGTCTTTTAAGAAAGTAATAATTGATTATGTTAAAGGAACATAATTTCGGAATTTATGTGTTCCGCAAGGGTCTACTTTCGGTCCACTTATATTTAGTCCATCTATTAATGACATTTTTTTTATAAATTACAACTTTTTTCTACATACTATGTCGAATTAACTAAGACTTGGAGCAAGCGAAGCTTTTCATCATTCCATTGTTTTTCTTCGGAATCCTTCCACGGCCTTCTTAGTTCCACCGCGTATAAACCTTGGAACTTCGCCTCCTATGATCAGCATTCTCCTGCAATCCTCCGAGTTGAAGACGACGCCAGGGGAGGGCGTATGTGATTAAATTATAGCCCCCAATCAAAGCCATTTTGATGCTGATTTATGAAATTGCATGTATTGTCTGGCGAGACGAAACAATAACTTCGGATGGCCGGGGTCAGGTGGGGAATGTATTCAAGCGTCGTACCGGTGATGTATCGACTAGACAGTCCGCACAATGAAATCTGCATTGGCGATTTCCATAATGCGATTGGATGTGGCGGGAAAAACGCGTCGAAAAAGACGGATATACGTTTGTGAGTTATCACATCTAAATGTTATTAAATAACGTTCGTCTCGACATTCAAAGAACGGCTCCGAAAATGTACAGGGTGCCGAGAAAAACAAAAACAATGCTTTTATAGACTCATATAAATATAAAAATACAATCTCTATCCTTCAGGTCATAAAACGTTTCTTCCGATCCGCTTCGTCTATCGTCTCCCCATAAAGGCGATATAAAAATGTATATTCCCCAAAGGGCTGACAGGCGGTAGGGAAAACAAAACACTGCGCCCGATCGGAGATAAAAATCCTTTTAGGTGAACGAAAACGACCGTAGGAATTAAGTCGTCCTTTATACGATTTCGTGCGAAATAATCATTTGTGTCGCCGCCGTGTTTATGTAAATCTCCTGGAACCTGGAAGGTCCTTTTGGACACGCAATGCCCATTACGGGTGAGGCTCCGTGTCCAATCTTTGGATTGTTACATGCCGAGAAAAATTTTTTACGGGGCGGACAATAGGAGCTTAAGGCGGCGTAAATTCGTAAACTATTTATTCGGACTTTGTTGCTAAAGTTGTGACATTATGTACTTGCATTTTTGGTCCTACGACAACCGTATTTCAATGGAACTGAGTTAATTTGTATGTAATTTTTAAACATAAGTATGTAGAATTTTTTTTACGTACTGATTACCGAAAATATCTGCCGCTTAACCCTTTTTTATCGCAATCGCCAATCGCATTAAGCTAATTGATTTCTCGAAAAGGAATCCTTGCCTTATAGGGAGGATCCTTTAAGGAGTTACTTTCGATTAGCTGTCGGTTGACATTATATTAATAATTCATGGCGTATTAGCGATTAATTCATTAATAATCAACAACGAATTTATCTGTTATTTTACAACTGCTACGCTAATAGGAACACATGTCGTATTAATAAAATAACCATTAATAACGTTTTTAATGAGGCATATCGCTATACGGATTAGGCCGGATTATATTACGGTTCACAATTACTGAATCCACTGTAAATTATGCCGTTGTGAATGATGTTCACCGTGCTTCTGAAAAGTGTTTGTAATTACGATTGTAGTACCGTTAGTACCACCATGTAGAAATTGGAACAGGGCCGTGGGAGATTTTTGTTTCTATTTCCGAGAAATTAATATCAAATAAGTTTGTTTATAGCAAAAATAGTCAAAGCAAGTCAGTTAAATAAAGTAAAAAATAGTAAAAAATTTACAGGGTGAGTTGAGAGAATCGCAGCAACCTACACGAGTGGATTCTTCACGTCACAATAATAAGAGAAAACCCAAATGTTTGTTGTTTCATTTGATTTCAAGCTATGACGTACGTTTCAATAAAAAAAAAAATTATTTATCCACAATCACCTTATAATCGGACTTTTATCCACACACTAGGGTAGCCCAGAAAATAACGAAATTTTTTTTTCGTGTCTCTTGTGAAAATATGTTAGTTTATCATGTTTTAAGAGCCCCCCCCCAAAATTAAGCTAAAAAAAAATTTGTTTAGAGGACGCTCAAGATTTTTAAAAATTTCCAAAATCGTCAAAAATTGAATTTGAAAAAAATTGTTTTCGTTATTTTATCATTTTCTAGGTTGAAAAAAATCAAGATTCTGAAAATTTCAATTCGATATTTTAATTTCTAAAGGTCACTCATAATTATTTTAACTTTAAAAGTAGTGTACCTAATATGTTTTCGAGCGACCTCTAAAAATAAATATCAACGAACTAATAATTTTTTTTATTGAATTTGATGAACAAAAGAATAGAAATAAATCACGAGACATTTAAAAAATTTCTCGAGACAAAATCAACTACCGCACTGTATCAAATATTTAAAATTTTTTAATTTTTTAAAATTTAAGTGTTGTAACTCTGTTAATTTAATAGTAAAAGAAAAAGTCAAGAGACCATTTCTATGTAGAATTTTATGCTCTATAAACTTTTTTTTCTAGCTCTTTTTCTAGTCCTTTTGAGTTATCTTGAAAATTACTGTCACTCCTTGTTATTATGTATTTTTTGAAATTTTTTTTGAATCTAGATTTTGTTGTTGAAAGTTGTTCATTTTAACATAGGTTTATATGGCGAAGATGGACGGTGCGGCTCTTTTTTTGCCCATAACCGAGAAAAAAATGTAGAAATTGTGAAACAAAACTTTTCCATAGAT